ACACACACACACACACACACACACACACACACACACACACACACACATAAACACAAAGTGAGTGTACCCAGCTGGCTGGGGGAATGGAGGGCAGTGGGTCTGGGCGTGTGTGGTGACAGCTGGCCGAGGGATGGTTCATTTAATTCAGGCACAGCCAGCCTGCAAGCTGGCCAAGAACACACACTGTCCTGGTGCCTCAGAACATTCCCATCCCAATGCCAACGTATGAACACACACACACACACACACACACACACACACACACACACACACACACACAATGAAGTAATGAAGGAGAAAAGCTAACACTGCCTGTCGTCCACTTTTAAATAATTGTGTTTATCAAATCATTGTCATGCATACTATTCATCTTCTTACACGAAGGCTCTGATGAGCACACATGCTCACACGTTTTGGGATTCATTTGACTTGACTGGACCAAGGTGACATTGTGTTTCTGTTAATCTGATGGACAAGGCAGATTAGTTGCATAATGTGTCTATGCCAACAAAACGGATGAGCATTATGGATTAATAAATGATTGAGGATTGTTTTTGGAGGGGTAGTGGGATCTTGATTGTTCCTCCTGCCCAATTTCAGCTCATCTATTCCTCACACAAGTGCTTAGGTCTTGCGATACTGATTGTACACTGACTAGTATACTGATTGTACACTGACTAGTATACTGATTGTACACTGACTAGTATACTGATTGTACACTGACTAGTATACTGATTGTTCCTCAGGTAAAGACAAAACATGGGGAGCCTTTTTCCACTATGTCCCACATACCTAGAAGGACCTCCCTGACTCTCCCTAATCTGACGATGTTCAAATCTGAGTTTAAAGGATCGGCTCACATTTCTTCTAGTCTTTCTTCAAGGAAGATTCCACAGATCTCTCACATGAAAGTCTGTTTGCAGGTGTTGGGGAGAACTATGTCTAAAGCCTTGTGTGGCCTGTCACTGGAGTCAGTGTCGGTTCGGTCTGAAGAATACAAGTTAAGAGAAGTTAAGATACGGGGGTGTGGAGTTAGACAGAAGTGAGCTCACCAGAGCTCTGTAGCCCGCTCCGCTTTAGGCTAGCGGCTCGAGCCTCCACTAGCCCCGACTAGCATAACACACACAAAATGTGGTGGTCAAATTGCATTGTGGGTAATGTAGGCACCAAGTTGGACACGGATGGAATAAAAAACAGAGGATGCCTCTGGTTCTGCTTTTCATTTTTTAAACTGTCCATCGTAAATCCAACAAGGTTATTATAGGAGCGCAACACTAGATGTGTGGAGTCCTCTTTTAACCACTGTGCTTAGGGAAGGGATCTCTTTACAGCACATGAACAGGAGGAACAAACACAGCCATCAATCATTCTTTCAGTGTACACATGGGCAAGCATTGTTTTCAGAAAATGGGAACCTCCTGTTTTCTGCTGTCTATAACTTAACTTGTGTCCCTGCTTTGGTTTTGCAATTTAATATATATTGTCTTATTCACTTAATTATGACATTTGTAAAGCACTGTAAACTGCCTTCATATGACTGTGCTGGCCTTGCCTTAGAGCAGGAACTGTTGCTGATGATGGGCTGTAAAGTCCCCCGACTCAGTTGAAGTGTCATTGAACTATACATTGAAGTGATGATGAGGCAACACATGCCAGTCAGTCAGTGTACGGATTCAGAACACAAAGACTCTCAAACAGGTGGCTGCCATAATGGAATGACATTTGCTGCAGAAAACACGTTACTTCTGATTCATAACACTTGACTTGGGAGCTTTGTCTCTCCGTCTGACAACAAACCACAATAAGCTGCTTTATAGTGATTGTAGACCAGCTAAAATATGTTGCTACACTAAAGGTGAAGCTGTGCTTGCATGATTATTACTTTATCTAACAGATTATATCAGGACATCATTGTATTATGTACAGTATTCATTTAGGCAGGAGTGCATTTGCTGTTTTTTCAGTGACAAGCTGCTTTCCACACAGAAACAATACATTAATGGTAAAATCATAATCTTTCTACATTCTCAGCATTGGCTTTATGTGTGCTTGGTTTAAGTGGAAACCTTCAGATAAAGAACATGTCGGTTAAGCGGCATCTTTGAGTGATTATGGAGAAACTGACAATATAAAGTAACGAGGACAGGAGAGTATTAATCAGTTCATTTTCACTCTGTCCAAGGATTCAAACAGTGTACATAAATCTTCCCTCTCAATCATATTTAATGGGACCTTTAAAAAGAAGTATTAATAATGACTGTTGACTGATTGTCTCTGCCCAGCACTCAATCAGCAGCCACAGCTGCACATTAATGCTTTTGTACAAGGTCTTCTTCAGCCAAGCAGAACCTTGAGCTGAACTTTTTTATAGTTCTGTGTGTGTGACCCACCTTTTCTTTTTCCTCCAGGTGTGCCGGCTAAACGTAATGAGCTGTACTACGACTGCTGTAAGGAGCCGTATCCTGATGTGACGTTCACGGTCACTATGCGCCGCAGGACACTTTACTACGGCCTCAACCTGCTCATCCCCTGTGTGCTCATCTCTGGTCTGGCCCTGCTGGTCTTCCTGCTCCCTGCTGACTCTGGAGAGAAGATATCACTCGGTACAGGATGGGACACACACACACACACACACACACACACACACACACACACACACACACACACACACACACACACAGAGAGATGCATACATCACTGCACACACACATTCTCTCACACTAACACAAAGGGACAATGAGTCATGATTATAATCATACATGCATACAAAAGTATTTTTTAACCCATGTATTTGTCACTGCTCTACGCTAACGCTGACATTTTGGCTGTGAATTTGCCTTTGAGTTGGATTCTACTCATTAGCAGATAAATAAAAGCTCCATCATAAACATTTCAAGATGACATTCAGTGAGACGGGGTCCGAGTGAATAACTGCAAGTCATCCCTCGAGAGTAGAACAGTGAATATTCCACAATAAACCCACGGCTGTTTTCACCTATTCTGAAGCAACCGGCTACATTTATTTGAAGTACTCTCAAGTCACCGTTAAAGAGAAAAGGAGGCGGTGATGACAGAATGTTTGCTCTGTCTTCCTCCAGGCATCACAGTGCTGCTGTCTCTCACGGTGTTCATGTTGCTGGTAGCAGAGATCATGCCGGCCACTTCAGACTCCGTTCCTCTGATCGGTAAGACATTTTTCTGCTCCAATTATAGCTCGTTGTGATTTTCTTACTTTCAAAGTGATGAAAAAAGACAAATAATTAACATTGATCACAAAATGATCAGCAACTTATCTCCCAAACAGTTGGCTATCTGTGATGTGATACTTACTGGTAATAATGTGTAATGCACCAGAAACCTTCAGAAATAGTTTGAAATGACACCTTTTCTTGTCAGTAGTGGAGAACTCGTCTGTCTGGTCAGTGTAACGCTATAGCCTGTAAACTCATAGCTTCTCTTACACAAACACTGGAAACGGGTTGACAGCTTGCCTGGCTCTTTTGAAAAGTAAAAAATCTCAATTGTCAACTTGAGTCTTTTTCTTTGTGTACCTTCAGACAGAGCGAGACTGTTTCCCTCTGTTTCAGTCTCTATACTAAGCTGAGCTCCGGGCTCCAGCTATATACTGAAAGGACATCTGTAAAGGGGAGTTCAGGGGTCAGGCCCATGTTCCCTCAGGTCATTCCTGTGAATTTGACCAACATCCAGGCATGTGCAATACATGCTGATTTGCCCCAAAACAACTAATGTAAGCGATGTACAGACGTTAGCTGTAAGCGAGCTAGAAACACGTCAGTGAGCGAGTGTTTGTGTTCAACTCACAAAAGACTCTTTTTTTCCTGTTCCGTCCAGTCGCTTTCCTTTCCCCTCTTGTATTCATACATGTATGAGACGTACAGCCCTGCGATAAGCACAACTTCCTCAACATCATGTCATTTACTTTGTATGTAATCGTGCCACATATAAAAGACTTCCTTGTGTTCTGTCTGAACACACCTTGAGAGTGGTATACATCTTCTCATCTAACTGTCTGCTAGAATGTGAATACACTCATTTCCCAAAAATGGTGACTGACCCTTTCAAACTGTACATTTAACCAGTTTGGTAGATTGGAATGAGAGTGTGTAGAATCGGGCGAAGAGCTGCATTACAACTGACGAGATATTCACACCTCATATTATTCACACCAGGCAGCCTGGAGCGGCTGGACGTGGGAGATTGCAGATATAAGATGTGAAGATTATTCTGAGAGTAGAAGAGCAACAGAGCTGCATTGTAAAAGACCAGACTGATACGAGCCCCGACAGACAAGCAGCTGGCCATGAGAGGGGAGGGAGGCTGCAGACGCAGGAGCTGCTCAGTGTCATTCAGCAGCTCAGTGATGTAAAACGAAGCCATTAGCAGATCTGTCTTTATTGGAGTAGACATACTAACACATTGCAGAACTGATGGATTGAAGACAAAATGAAATACTCCTTAACGTTCACTCTGACAAATATACTTCGACATGGACCGGATCAAAAAGAAAAATGTCTTCTCTTGTTTTTAGAGGGAAGTCTATCATAATTATGTTTCAGTGTATTCAGGTGCGTGTGGACGGGGGAGCGTGCTTGCCTACATGTACATGTGATGCATGTTGTTGTTCCTGTGGCTTCAAATGCCCGCAAGCATGCGTATGTGTTTTGGTTAGTGTGTACATTGGGATGTGACATGTTGGTCATCCTCCCACCAGCCCCTGTGGTGGTGTATCCTCAGCTTTGTTGAAAGGGTTAAACTCCAACTGACTAACCAGCCAACCGACTGACTTTGCGGCAGACCTACCAGAGTACTATGCCCACCTCTCATGGTTTGTCTTGATACGTGACAGATACATGAGCTTTTCATTCAGAATGGCACTGATGCACTGTATTAGTTCTTTTCTATTCCAAATGGAAATTGTTGTGCTGTACTTATGTGCTCTTCTCCTTCCAGCTCAGTACTTTGCTAGCACCATGATGATCGTGGGCTTGTCTGTGGTGGTAACAGTCCTGGTGCTGCAGTTCCACCACCATGACCCCCATGGAGGGAAAATGCCAAAATGGGTAAAATAACCTTTAAATCCAATAATCTATCATCAGCCAATTGTGATTGCCCTAGCCAGTGGATTATTTTCAAATAACCACACAACGTATTGATATTGGTACATTTAATACCCATCTAGGCTGTTGCCTATACGTATGAGTCTGTAATAAGACATCATAAGCAAGAGTGTCCACCAACAGTGCAGTTATATATGCATATATTTTTATCTTTAAGATTTTATTTTATTCAAAATTTGACAAAGCTCTCGATTAATAGTGGATTTCCCCTAATTATGGATCAAAAACTCAAAAGTAAATCATTGTTAAAGGATTATCCACACTGAACCATTCAGTTATTAAACAGTAATGAATTATATGGAAGGAAAACCTAAAGATTATTCTTGTATACCTCATGGCACGTGTGCATCTTCCCCTACAAACAACCTTAACAAATGTCACACTGGCAGAAGTAAGTTTGCAGTGTAAAAGTTCTACTTTTCTCTGTATTTCTGTTTTTCATATGATTTTATTGCTCATACTTTGGTCTGTGACTCACTGATCTCTCCTTTACTTCTGTCCTGTCTTCCACCTCTGTGCCTGATCTCATCTCTTCATCCAGGTCCGAGTCATCCTCCTTAACTGGTGCGCTTGGTTTCTCCGCATGAAGAAACCTGGAGAGGAAAATAAGACCGCTGTGAGTTCCAGCTGCACCGCAGACTACAAGTACGCCCACCATCCTCCGCACCATACCAGCTCCAGCAGCATTGCGATGAGCACCATACCAGGGCAGGCGCCCACCCAGTCAACCACGACCAACGGGAACATGAGCCTGTACTTTGGCTTACACTCGATGGGCACAGAGAACCATGCATTCCCACCAAGCACTGATTCAGGGGTGGTGATGTGCGGCGGTGGCGGTGATCATCTGAACGTCTCCTCCCCGCATGACGTCCACTCAGAACACACGCGGGCATTGCTGCTGGAGCAGGTTCCGGAGATTTCGAGGATCCTGGAGGAAGTGCAGTACATTGCCAGGCGCTTTCGAGATCATGACGCGGGAGAGGCGATCTGCAGTGAGTGGAAGTTTGCAGCGGCAGTGGTGGATCGGTTATGCCTCGTGGCTTTCTCGCTCTTCTCCATCATCTGCACCTTCACCATCCTCATGTCAGCTCCCAACTTCATTGAGGCTGTGTCCAAAGACTTCACATAAGGCTGATCTCTTCCCTCTCTGAGTGGGAACAGAAAGGTTAACATGAAACATGACAAACTGTTGTTTGCCTCTCTGCTGGCCCTGTTGTACCTCATCGTGTACCGGACCATGTCTCATCACAATATGTTGTCAACACTCCTTCCCTTCAGGCTTTCCTTTCTGCTCATTATCTTTCACTTACTTTCCCAACAGCAGCTCTTCACATCTGCAACTGTCTGAATGTCTTCAACAGTTACACATAGTACAGCTGCTAGAGTTCTGTAGACAGTTTTAGGTAAAGCTTGTTCAGGCCTGTATTCTATAATACTATTTATTTTGTATTTGTAAATACATCTACATCAGATCAAATCTTTTTTTATTCGTGTTGGTGAACTTATTGAGAGCTACTAACTTGTTAACTCACAGCACTGCACACCTCACATCTCTTTAAACTAAGGCTGCAAATAATAGAGCATTCATCGTAGATGTATCTGCCAACAATTCTCTTGATTATTTAATTACTTGTTTTGTTTGTAAAATGTCAGAAAATAGTCAGAGTCCAGGTTGACGTCTTCAGATTGGGTTTTGAACTGCTGGTTGAATAAAACAAGCAAAGATATTCAATTCACTATTATATGTATAACAAAGAAAAACATCAATAAAACACTGACAAAAACGGCAAAGCATTTAAATATCCTATCCACTTATAATGGACGGACAGGAAGAGGGGGAGACAGTTCTGCCTGACATGTACAAGCCATGTTTAGTACTCTAAACATGAATCAGGATTCAATAATCTTTACAAATCTTTATGTGTTGATATTTATTTGATTTAAACATTTTAAATATGGTCAGTTTTAGTTTGAGGTACTTGTTGTAATGATAAAGGTGTAGCTCAACATTTTGGGTTCTTGTAGTGAGTCAGATGAGGAGATTGATGCCACACACACTGTTCTGGTCCATTTGTCATCGTACATCGTGATGATTATTATAAGCTGCAGGTGAAGACTGGAAGATGAGCTCTGATGAACCGAGAGAACAAAGCTGGTTTTAAAGGAAACCCATGCTGGGTGTCAAAGGTCATGTAACACATGTGGTCAGAGGGGTCTTGGTTGCTTTAAGAATGTTATGTAATAGATTGACGAATAATGCAAAACCTTGATCACGGTTTCATCTTGGAGAAGATATGAACAGAGGAGACGTAATGACTCGTATGAGACGTGTCTTCTCTGTGACTTGGACTAACGTCTGTAGAGACTTTGCGAGATAACCTGACACATTTCTATTGTTACTCATGTCGAAGTCTACTTAGCACATGTTGTCTGATCCTGTTCAGAAGAGGATATTGTGTTCTGGGTAAAAGACATTCTGCATTGACAAATCAAAGCTGTGTTGAAGTGGCTCAAATAGCTGTGCTGCAAATGTGAAACTCTAAATGAGAATATGTCCGTTTACTTTAATGCTATTGCTGTTTTTATCACTAGTGTTGTATTTTGGTCACCTTGAGCGTCTCTTTCTTTGTGGTCTGTGCGTCTCTGCTCCGTATATTTCATTAGTATGTAATGCCCACTGTACATGACTATTTGGAGAAAAATAAAGGAGACGTGATCATTGCTGGCATTTGAATGGCTGACATGCAACAATTACCTAAATAATAATTTTAAACTGCTTTCACTGAGCACAGTTCCTCCTCGTTCCTTTCTGGTCGTGGTTATGACACGGTTGATGTTTTCAATGTAACTGGACAGACAGAGCATCTGATGTGCCGGTTAATCACAGCATGTAATGCTTACATACAATACAATTTATACATATACTGTATATCTCAAACTATTCCTTTAAATCTTTAACATTTAGCAAAAATTCAGAATGTTTCACATTTTCATTGCCTTCATGTGAAGACAAGCTACCAGGCTGCTGGCTGCAGTGGAGCGGGATCATCACTGCTGTGGTGGAACTTTCAATTAAATCAATTGAATAACTGTCAACATCCTTCAGCAAATTACAAATCACTGCAGTGAAGCACGAGGCTGCTTTTCATCATTACAGACGAGTTGATTAGTTGTGAAATATTCACGTAAAGCGCTGGTCCTGAGAGATCCTTTTGAAATGTTTGCTTTATGTCTGAACCGTACTCTCTATAACCGTTTCCCTTCTCTGCCTTTTCTTCTCCACTGAAAAAATATCACCTCTGTTCTCTTTGGACTCATCTTCTGCAAACATCAGCCGTGTCCTCTTCCCACTGATTTCATCCACAGAGGAGTGTGTGTGTGTGTGTGTGTGTGTCTGCAAACATCAGCCGTGTCCTCTTCCCACTGGTTTCATCCACAGAGGAGTGTGTGTGTGTGTGTGTGTGTGTGTGTGTGTGTGTGATGGTTTCGGAATGACGGGGGCAAACCTAACCGCAGTAGGCCCAGCACAGTCACTGTTATGTATAATGCCTTACCCTGACTCATACAAGGATTGATCAGGAGAAATGTAAAACAACTAAAGTGCAGAACCTTCCTGTCAGGGCAGCAAGTACAATCTGTCTGTTTTCATTTTCAGTGTATAAAGGTGAGATTAATAAATAGAAAGGTTTCACATCTGAGCTAAGATGTCCTGATAAAGCCCCACAAAGCCAGACAACTCATCACCATTTACAGCTTAAGAGAAACCTTTTCACAAACTGTTCAACAGATCCAAACCAGCACGAAGTCAGACGGATTCAGTCTAATATTCAAAGTACATTGTAGTCTGTACAGGTGTGTACATAGAGGGAATGATAAACAGAGAAAGAGATAGTACACCATATAGCCTCTTATAAAACTACTGAATGATGCACAACCTTTTATGATCAATAGTTTTTTATTTTCCTCTATTATGTGTCGGCTTTTGTGGGCAAAATTAGTAACACAGCATTTTGTGTGACGCGTAGTTTGTTGTGAAACTGTGCAGCAAACACTGATGGGCGGTGAGGCCGTGTGCGCGACAGAGACAGAGATCGAGTGTGTCTGCGCTCCACCCGAGGACTGCAGTGTGTGTACGGAATGTGTTTGCACTGCATGCCCTAAGTAGCACAAATAGGCTGCTGATGTGTGTGGAGGTTGTGGTGGAAACATTTCATCATGCCTTCTGTCTCAACTGACCCCACTCTTCTATTCCCTGTTGGGTTTTATTTGAGAACCATTAACATCTGTGTTCATCCATCTCCTGTATCTACTCTGCCGTCCATCCCTCCATCTTTGCTCTCCCTGAGGCTACATGTGAACCGTCATTTTCAGTCAGCACATTCATCCAATGACCAAACAGCTTGAATGGATCTCCGCTACGGGACTCTACTACATGTTGTTTATCTTTAAAGATGTACGGCAGCGCTCTCATTAAGTGCCTCATATGTTGCTGCATATAACTGATATTAATCTCCACGGGTACACACGTGTATGAAGGCAGCCGATAGATCACTCAGGGTGTTTATTACACTGTATTTGAAGTAAGTGCACATTTAGCATAAATCTTCTCTGAAAGAAACTTTATAAATAATTCCACAAAAGCTTCAGTGTCAATTCAAGGTCGTGCATAAGTAAACGTTTCAGTCACATTTTAAATTCCTCTTTGTCCTCGAATACAAACTTAATCATCCAACTGGCACAGCAGAGCAGAGGCTCGTGATGTCCAATAGTCGCTCGGTCGATTGGAGGGAAGCATTACTGCTGCAACAAAATGAGTTGAGTGACCTGGAAGGAGACAGAAGTTAAGGGTGAAGGAACAAGTCTAATCACATTAGATATCTGTGTCACTGCTTGAATGGCAAAAGAGATTCTGGACACCAAAAGTGGTAAAGTGCCCTTGAGCAAAACAATGGAATCCTGTCTGATCAAAAATGTAAGAAGATGAAGAGCAATGTAAAGCAGTATGTAAGTGAGTCCCCGTGTGGAGCACAGACCTGTGGTGGACAGAGCCCCGGCTCTGGCTGACGTCTTGTACAGAGGAGCGTGGTAGAGGTCTGGCTCAGGCACGTAGTTCTGCTGGGGCTCAAAGTGCACCACCGGCAGCATGGCATTCATCACTCCAGGTAACGCGTCCTCAATCACCATGTTGTTATCGTCCCAGCGACTGGAATCCATGAACATGCCGTGCACGAGCACACCGTTCTCTGGCTCCGGTAGCTGTTGTATCCACAGATGAGATGGAGCAGCGGTCATCAATCATTTCACTGCTTTGCTGCCTCTTGTGTTTTCACAGTAAAAGCATGTAGCATGCAGGCTGGATGCACAACAATAAACCCCCTCTTCAGTACCTCATCATCCATGTCCAGTTTAGTGGTGTTAGGCAGACCGCGTAGAGCCTCACAGACTGCTACCTGGTCTCGGTACACCGGCACCAAGTTGAAGCGGAAGTTGAGCTCATCGATGGGCAAATTGTAGCGCCTGGCATGATTCTGAAGCACCGCTAAAGGCAGAGCGGAGCACATATTTATGTAAAATTATAGTTCTAGCTGCTGGGGTTCATTAATAACACGGAAGATATTAATTTACCTGTAAGAAAGCCTTGAGGAAAGAAGAACCCTGAGATCCAGAAAGACTTGGGCTGACCACGTGTGATCCAAGTCTAGCAAGAAAAAATTGAATTAAAATTGCGTATCTATAAATAATTTCAATATGTGTTTTGTTTAATTAACGCAGGGTGCATCGCAAGCGTCCTGTTGTTAACGGGGGCTGACAGTGAAGAGGATTCTCTCCTCTGAGGTGAACATGTGCAACTAACGTACGTCTGTGAGTGAATGTGCAACACACATGTTCCAACCAGTCTCACGGAAGAACAATTTAAGTCAGGGGACATCAACCAGTGTTGGTTGAGAGAGAGAGAGAGAGAGAGAGAGAGAGAGAGAGAGAGAGAGAGAGAGAGAGAGAGAGAGGATATGTGCCTCAGGGAAGAATGCAGAATGTTTTATCAGTGTTTTCAACTTGATGAAAAAAAACAATCAAACACAAAAAAAACGCCAAGCACACACTCTCTCACACACACACACACACACACACACACACACACACACACACACGGTGAGATGTCTCTGTCGTGTCAGTGTGTGAGTCAGTGATACAGAGACTTCAACCAGGACAAGTAGCTGAATCCTGACTCCCTGATTGGTTTTTACTGCTTTTCTGTTCTCGTTATTGAAACAAATGGCTTCAAACAACATCTGAATACAACTCAACCAATATGTGTGTGTCAGAATTGATTTTCCTTTCTCTTGCACACCTGGATAAAGGAGGTCCTGAGAGCCAGGTCCCTGACCCAGGATGCCAGAGGTTTGAGAGAAGGGTAGGCAGAGTTGGCCCAGTGGGCGGGAACCTGGTTGTTCAGGAAGCTTGTGTATAAGCGGTCCATCTCTTCTGACATCACCACCAGTCCTGCTATGGCCTTCTGCAGAGTGATAAGAGACATCTGGGGAACACAAAAACAATCATACATCACAATGAGGGGCGTAAAGGACAGAGGCAATCTGGAAGAAAGTTCTTTATTTTGATATATATCAGCAGCAGCATCATGTTGCTGTTACAACAGTTCGTTACAGTCAGAAAGTGAGGAGAATCCACTGAACTGGTCTCATTGTGTACTCAGAGCAGTATATGGTATCAGCAAGTACCCAGATGTCCGAAATAATCGGTGCATCCTTGGTTTATGTTTGATCATTTCACTGCAGAAGGCCTGAGAGGAAAATTACAAAGTTAATTCTGGTAATCCATTTCCAAGTCTGATCTGATCCGTTTCCTCTCGTGTTAACGACTTGAAAAAAGGTTAAAAATGTACTTGCCAGGATAATATTTCTAATTTACTTTCTTTGTTTTTTCATCTGTAATAACAGGTGAAGTGTGCATGGAGAATTTAAAAGTCACCTGGAAGAAACATTACAACAACAAACACTTAAAAACTACTTTTTACCGGTTCTGAGGTCATAAACACTGGAGAGAATATAGAATAGTCTTTATTGATGACCAGATTATATGTTTCAGTTGCCTCTCAGGGTTGAGATATACTTCCTCATGGATAGATATACAAACATTGCTCGAGGAAGCTCGATTGTGTCTCTGGGAGCTCAGTGAGTCACCTTGATCACTCTCAGCAGGTGGTTGAACCGGTCGGCCTCTTGGCCCAACACAGTTGTCAGGGAGTTAAGGCGGCCGCTTCCATCCGGGACACACAAAGTTTTAACCGCCTCATCCATGTCCAGACGCTCTGCGTGGACAGGTAGACAAGCAGGGAGACAAACCGGCAACACAAACAAAGACAGGGAGACAAGCAGGGAGACAAACCGGCAACACAAACAAAGACAGGGAGACAAGCAGGGAGACAAACCGGCAACACAAAGACAGGTGGGCAGACAGACAACAGATAGGTGGAAAAACGCTGCGTTAGATCAGGAGTTATTAAGATACACAAAGTAATGTGGTTCTTTGCATGTGTATCTCATGAGTGGTCTGTGTGTGTGTACCTGGTAGCTTGGCCAGGATGGCTGCAGTGAGCTCGCAGACGATGTGATCGTTACTTGTAGCTCCATGGTGGGCTGGTGAGCGAGGAGTTACATCCAGTATGGTGCTGATTAGAGTCATGGTTTCTTGACGCTTTGGAGGCAAATACATAATACACCCACAATGACACACCTCTCATGCTCTCTGAATACAAATGTTTTTTCCAAATGAAATCATGAATCAGCCAAGAAATGATAACATGCACTAGTTAAAATGAGCTGTTCAACATGTTACCCTAAAAAATGGGTCAATTAGTTTACAACATAAGCTGCTCATATGAGAAAGATTGTGATCAGTACATCTTCCTTTCTGGAAGATGCTGCTGTTGTTCCTCACCTGGAAGGCCAGGTTGGCATTCTCATGCAAGCCAAAGACCTCAGGCTCATCTATGATTGGAAGACTCTCGATATATTTCTTATATTGTTCTAGCTCCTCTGTATCTGGGGCATAGTAGATACCTTAAACACACAAGATAGGAAACCACTAAACCAAACTAAATATACAGTATATGAGCATGCTATATTGATTATATTATCATATATTATGTGTTCCTGTTATTTTGTCCATGCCTTGTATGTAAACAAAGAAAAAGAAAGAGAGACCTGAAGATGGAAGAATACCTGAGGCGGAGTAGGCGTAGCCAGGCTCCAGGGTTTGAGGCGAGAAGAAGCCTTTGAGGATTGTCCTGAGGCAGCGCTGGTCCCAGGCATCCGTCACTCTGCCCCCATATGTGATCTCACCTGGAACACGGACACCACGACCACATAATGCTACCAGTCTCCATCAGTGATATGTGCAGGTGCTACAGCACATGGTTTAAAGAACATGGAGTACATTTAGGGTGTTTCCAGCTCTGGGACCAAGGGGTTGTATTTAGTCCATTTATAAATCATAGGTGCATTTTAGGCAAAACATGAATTCAACCAATCAGAGTGTCATCTACCATTCCAAGGAAATGTTTGGATCACACGAGTTAGTAACAGTCCTAAGCAGCCCCCACTGGGACCTATAATACTAATGATAAAAGTGTTGTCTAATCTTCATCTTTTGTCTGTCCTGCTCTCCTGACCCTCCTCAGCTCGGCAGGTTCACACTGCACCTTGTCCTTTATCTTGATCAGCTGTCTACCATCCATCAACATCTACCGAGGCCATGAGAAGAACCCAGTATCTGTACACCAGATACATTACATTAGAAAAGTAGGTCCGATCAAATAAACTCAGGAAGCTGGGAATTGTTTGGACGAAGGAAGGAATAGTGAAAAGACAGCCACGCAGAGCAAATATTACCTAAGAGCAAAAAGTAAGATTATATCAACTATATTTAACACAAACAATCCAACGCTTAAAATCCATACTTTCTCGAAGACACAGTTATGTAAGGAAGTAAGGACGCGGGTAAATAATCAGACACTTCTCTGCTGAAGCTTTTAGAAAGCTGCAGGCGTGGTGAAGCTGGCACAGACTGTTTTTAGCACGATAGAGGAACTGTTTCTGAAAGAGGAAATGCAATACAATGCTTGGTTTGAGCCCAAATTCTTTCCTTCAAAGAGTGTGTAGCTCTGGTTCACAAGGACCGTTAGAATTAAGGATTAAACTAATAACTCAGTGTGATCAGTTTGATTATGGAGCGGTGAGCTCCACTGAGACTGAACATAATCATTTGAAGGTGTAATTGAAAACCAGATCAGGAAAACCAATTAACTTTAGCAATATGCTAATGAATGAATTGTTGCTAATGAAAGGATCCTTCCCTCTTCTTCATAATAACTGTGAAGATGTTTAAAATCAACATAATACAATAACATTGAAATTCTATTTGTGTCCATATGTGTGCCCAGGATGTATTTGACAATAATACAAGTGAATTAAAAAGTTTTCACTTTCATGTTTGCATGTATTTAAGTGTTGCCTGCTACAGTGTGGTTTTAACAAAACTCTAATGTGTCACAATTTAAATCACTAAATGGATCTTTTAATGGAAAAGGTCATTTGAATCTCTTTTTAAACAATTTCTGGAAGATTAGAAAAGTGACTTCTTTAATGTTTACAGAAATGTGCCGTAGATATACGCTCAGGGACACATGCTTGTAGAATGGGTTGTGTGCTCGTCTCAAGGTTTGATTCAAAAGAGATGTTGCGCTGATGATGCTACAGCGCAAACACACCCACAACGTTTAGCAGCTGAGTGCAATTTGTCCTTTTATGTGTTTGATTGCAATTATCCATGTGGATAAGTATACATGTTGCATTTGCTCCAAGAACACAGGAGGCAGAACAACTGACGAGGTGCAGAAGCATTCCTTAAAACTTCAGACAAGGAATTTAAACACGACACAGAGAGAAATACGTGCAAATAGCAGCGGAGCGCCGAGACGCTGTTTGCCTGGCAGCGCAGTTAGGGGGGCATTTCACACAGTTTATTTTTGTTTGATTTGTGAAGGTGTAGCAGCCACAAATACTGCAAAATTCTTTTGGGGTGAATTCATCCCCTACTTGCGAGTTTAGTAGCATCGAATACAACAGTCCTGCAATAAATTCTGCATCCATGAACATTCTGCTGCAGGACAGAGTCACTGCCGTGTCACTGCTCTGCTTTTTGCCTTTCCCATTTCACACAATGCCAAAAATGTGTGTTGTTGACAAAACAACGGTGACCCAACTAATCTGAAGTTCCATCATATGCTTTGCACATTGCACTATACAATGTTGAATTTTGAGAACCAAAACAAAGCACACACAACCCCTAATACATCGACATGTGCTTGACTGTAAATGCATGTGTGTACGCATTTAGATAGACTTGCATGCAAATACACACACTTATGCCTGCGTGACAGCATCCCTACCAGTCATGTAGATGAGAGCGTCCCAAGGGACCGCGCCGTCTCTGCAGTAGAGGTTGAGGTTGAGCAGAGCACACTCCCTGTCACTGTCGTTAAACTCATAGGGGATGTTCCAGCCCAGAGGACCAAACTTCTTCCGCTCCTAAGACACAAAAAAGGATACGTGTAGAAGCACAGGCACATACCCAAGCAAACACATACAACAGAATACAAGAAAGTAAAACACGTACAGGCACACAGAGCCGTAATAATGGAGCATGTGTGAGGTGTGTGAAACAGTGTGTAACCTGGATGACTGCATGGAAAAAGCAGATTCCAAAGATGATCTTCCTCCACTGGCGTCCCAGAATGTGCTCTTCTAAATACTTGCTGGAGATCTCTGTGAAGGCTCGTCGCATGTTGGCTCGGAGGCCTTTAGGAGGCTCATTAGTCACCTGGCAACAACAACACAGAGACACACAGGGCTCGATGGCTGCGACAGAGAGAACCACATTGGACTGCCATGAACTCTGGGGCCTTGCTTGGGTCAATCTAATCCTCCTGGTTGTGCCGGTATGTTTTAGACATGGACGGTTTTTTTTGCCTGGTTGTAGACCTTTGAATCTGCTCACTCCACCGAGCTCCAATCAACTGATCTGTCTGGCGTCGTGACAAGTAAGAGTGGTATCTCAATTAACAGGCAATCGACCAATAAACACAGCGGGGGAACGAACCAACAATTAGCCAATCAGAGCCAGGGGCGGGACAACTATGATGTCATGCCTCAGTACCTTGGAGTAATAATAACAATGAGACCACTACAGACGACATTCAAGCTGCTATCAAGGCTCTAAATCCATTAAAAGCACCAAACAGCTGTGATGTCTGGTTATATATTTGACTTCTGTCTTACTGGACTGAGTCATTGATATACAAATGGTAATTCCTTTAATGACAGATTCATTTATTTACAGAATTAAGTGCTGGTGCTGGAACTAAGATCAGTTGTGAATGAATCTCAGGCCAAAAATGTAGCAGTGTTAAAACTAGGACTGACGTGAACAGGCCCCCGATTAGTCTCGTTTGTTGCTATTATTTCAAATCCTTGTGATGCTGAGATATGTTACAGATGATACAGAATACACAGATCCCAAATTTCAACCGATTTATGCCGACATCCAATAATAACAAGCTCATAGACTGTTGATCACTTGTTTAACTTACTCACGTAGTAAGAAGAGTGACTAACCAAAACATTTACAGGATCTGTGATTGAATTACATGTTTTTCCCGCGTCAGTTTTACTTACATAGCCGGTGGAATTAAAAACATGCAATCCTAAAATAAAAGTAATTTCCTTTTAGGCTCATTTGACTACCACACCTTCACTGACACGGTTTAAAGTGATGTTGTGACACTTCCTTCTATGGAGACAGTATCAGTTCAACAAATTACAAAGCATGCAAAATATCACACAACTTTCCAGTAAAATGAATGCAAATCACATCCAAATATCATTTCTTTACTTATTCCAGACTTTCTCTCATCCAAGCAGACACACTACAATGAGAATACTACCATCAGCATCCTTTCCTAATTAATGACCTTTCTTCAATCTACTATCTCTAGAAACACAGCAGTATTGACATGTATCATTGAGTCTCCTTTCTACAGATTCAATATTTGCATCATCAACTGTAAGTTTCCCACAGAAGTCTAAGAAATTAAACTCAGTATATGCATTGAGAATATTTATTTTCAAGGCATGAGGGTGTGAACTCTCGTCATGAAGAACAATGATGAAAAGCCATGTGCATCTGCAGAATGCATAATTATCTTATTAACTATTAGATTGTTCATTTGTTCAAAGCTGGACTTCATATTGGAAGTACATCTTTCTTAATCCTGCAAACAATAGTCCTGAAGAGCAATCTCTGACAGACAATCTTCAAATGAAATTACGTAAACTAATGTGAACTCATACAGTAGCAGAGTGTGTGTGTGTGTGTGTGTGTGTGTGTGTGTGTGTGTGTGAGAGTGTGTGTGTGTGTGTGTGTGTTCACCTTGACAGAGTTCTGAAGCACTGTAACAGGAAATACTTTGGTCGGCATGGAACTGAGAAACAAACGGAAGTTCTCGTGGATTGATGCGTCTGCACAGGAACAGAATGGAATGTTGTTCACAGCCATAAACAACAGAAAACAATACATAGTGAGTGTTACTGTGACGACACAGAGGAACATGCATTGAATCTTTTTACAAAACAAGCATTTGGTCCCAGAATGCTCGGCTATGTTGTGTTGCTAGTGTTTTCTGTATTTACTAGTGAGCTGGGCGTTCAGCCACCGTGCATTAGACAGCAGCAACAGTGCACGCTGTCACGCTGCTCTGCCCTTGTGTGATCATGTGCACAGTTACATGGTGGAAGTGTTTGAACACTGTTTGTATACCAGGCTCAGTGAGGGTCTTGATGAGCTCCTCCATGGCTAACATCCAGGAGACGGCCAGATGACAGTTCTGCACAAAGACCCATTTGCCAGTCTTCATTGCTGCATGGATCATCTTTTCTGCTATCGGCCCCTGGCCTTGACCTAATGATATGGACTCAACCCTGAGAGACAGAGACCCTTGTGATCATGTGTAAACACCTTCCAGGTTGTGCGCCAATGCCTGGATATATTCAACTCAATTCTGTCACAACACTCCCACCTTATATCATCCGTCTATCTTGTTCTTTTTACCTGTCAAGACAACCTCTCTCTTTTGCAAAGCGCTGGAAGGCCCCCATAGGGTCAGATCCTGTGCTGAGAATGAAGACCAGTGGTGTGGAAGGGGACATGTCATTGTAAAGGTTTGCCAGGTCTACTGGAGGGTTCTCCACAAACTGCTGTCCAAGGCTGACGATCACAAACTCTGTTGCTGCAAACACCAGCTGGACAAGAGGTGGAGGAAGTCAATCAGATAACAACAGGAAGAGAAGGGCCAGAAGAAAGCAATGGAAAGGTTTACAAAATATAAATCTAGGCTCACCTTTTCTTCTATAAAGCTCTTGATCAGGACTAGCTTCTGGAAGGCCCCCAACCTTTCATTCCAGTGACCTCTGATCCCACTCCCTGGCTTCACTTCTTTGGACACGTAGCCTTCCCAGGTCTCTGGATTAATAGATGCTTGAAAACGTCCTAAAGGAGAGGCGTCATTTAATGCTACACACATCTTCTTTATAAATCACTTTGTGGTAGAAGAACAATAGAATATCCAAGAATTACAATATTTAAGCCTGACAGTGAAAAATCAGATTTTGTTAATGGGTCAAATGTTCTAGCTTTTTAGAAACGTTGTGCACCTAATATGCTGACTCTTGCCAGACAGGCCTGTATAACAGCTGGGTTGGGTGTACCTAGCTCGATGAGGATGGAGGTTCTGGTGATTTCCTTGGAGATGCCCTTGAAGCAAGGCAGTGTGTCCTCCAGCTCGCAGCACGTGTGCCAGTAAAAATCACTGAGCCATGGCACATCTGGACGTTCTGCATTGTCCTGAAAGAAGAACAAGTTGAACAGGAGACGTTGACGGCCATAAAGGAAGGAGTTGGGAAAGAAATAGAGGACAGACCTTCAGTAGAGAGCAGTGAAGAAGACTTAAAGGATGTAACAGTGTGAAGACAGAATGATTCACAACAGGGCAGGTAGACGTGGCGGATAAGAGAAGCAAAGATGATGGATGTATTGAAGCTGCGATACAAAAGACAGAGAGTGGGAGGAGAGGAAAGGCATTAACAGGAGGATCACGAGGGCTGACGGGCAGCACCTCCAGCCTCAGTAATGCCACATAAAGGAGAAACAAATGGTGGATGAATGAAAGTATCCCAGGTCAGCACCAACTGATCTGCACTGTGGTCACAAAAGTGTCCTTAATACTCAAAGGGCCTTCTATTCATTGCTCAGTTCTACCTTTGACCTTCTTCATTGCCCAAACCAATGGAGCCTCAGCTGCACACCCTTCTGACTCTCACAGGGGTTTGAGAGGGAAGACAATGATTACATAGAAATATATAGAAAAGAAAAACATTGACATGTAAACAAGCTCAGATCAGATCTTGCCCCTCTGAAGGCGTCATGTCTGACTTGAGTTACTAAGACGTTTGCACTGATTATAAAGGACTATTAGCATACTACTAAATATTCTTCTTTTTGTATCTCTCTTCCACAGACATAATTATTTTGTCAACCTCTTCACTTACAGATTTTCTCATCTATTCTTTTTGTCTGTGGCTTACTGTGTGTGTTTCCATCAGTCTCAGCAGCAATAAGCTGGCCGAGAGAGAGAGCCTGACAGACACTTTGTGACAAAGGTCTCTCAACTCAATCCCACAAGAAGAGGAAGAAGAAGAAGAAGAGGAGAGAGAGAGAGAGTGAAGTTACTGCTTGCAGGCCAACTTGGGGGGATTTACAGAAGCACCTTGTTTATCCACATTTAAGAGGATTCTGCCAACAAACTGTAATAATTCTCTATTTTTGTCTAATTATAGAAACACCTCTTTGTTTGTTTTTTATTTAGAGCTCATGGCATTTAAAAGCAGGACGTTATATCTCTATTCCTCCAGGCAAGTTTTAATTTAGTGTTCACTGACAGTTGACCATTCTCCATTCTGGTATGGACTGAACTGATGTAGTTTCTTCTAAATAACTCTGCAGCCCGTCGCACCAAGTGCATGTAAGTTCCAACATAGCTTAGTTTGGACTTCGTGGGGGAATTATGCTATAACTTTGTAAAAACAGATACAAACAAATCCAAGTTAGCACGCAGCATTGAGCTAAGATTATGTTAAAATTGTGGACGACTTGCTTGACTCAAGCCCCGGCTGCTGCACATAGCGCTGTTCGCTTGTTTATTCAATTAATATTGAATGTGCAGTGTGTCCAAACTGCATCAAATTAGACACAGCACTCCTTCGGGTCCAAAGCAATATACCTGCCAAGTGTGAAGTAGATTGGAAGAATATATATGATATATGCTAAAGACCCACACACACACAGAGAGGGAGAAAGACGGACAGAGAGAGATTGCTTGCTTTATAGTTAGATGAACACATCCGAGTCTCCACCCCATCTCCCATTGGATAGATTCTCCTCTGACACCAGCAATGTACCAGCAGGATTCTTTTGACTTGATTTCCCACCTCACCTTTTCCAAAGAGACACTTCCTCTTTGGAAGTGCTGCCACTCGGCATCGGAAATCTCCCCACGCTGCCTCATGACTTCTATGCACAACATGAAGCTGTAGATAAGCTTGTGCTGCTCGAAGAGGCCACGGGACACGTTGATGTAGGAGATGAGCAGGATCTGGTCCAGCAGGATCTGGAGACGATCTTCTAACACGCTGCTCTTCTCTGACGTTTCAATGGTGGAGTTAAAGAGCTGAGGGTGGAGAAAGTAAAGAACATTAAGAATGGGATGGAAAGATATTGAACAAGAGGAACAGACGTGCTACAGGGAGTCTTGAAGTTGTTTGATAATGTGTGCTTTACAAAAGCTTACAAATGAAATCAGATGGAGATTTGTCTGTGGCTTGCACAATGACGCCTGTTACTAACTCACCTGTTTGAAGTACTTGAGGGAGAACTGGTACATTGGATCAATCTCAGAGAGACTGGCAATAACAAAGTACAAGACTGAGCCTCGGGTGGCCACAGGTTGGTAACGCTCCCTTGCAGAGTTGATCATCAGCTCAGAGGCCTCTGCCTCCTCCAGACGCTGCTTTATAGCCTCTGATGTCAGCTGAGGAATGGTGGGAGAAGGGAGGAACAGATGTGGTAGAGGAAAGGAGGGAAACAGAATAGGACAATATGATTATAACAAGTCAAAATCCAAACAAACGTTGAAATGGTATTTGTAGATGATGACAATATCCATATGATATCTACCTTTGACTCCTGAAGAGTCTGAACTAGCTCTTCGTTGTCAAGTATATTCCCCTCAGAGGTGAGGAGAAGCTGGAGGATGCGGTCCTCGATCTCTTTTAGCTGGTTGCGGTCAGCGTGGATGCGCACGATCAGCTCATTCCTCTGTTCCTCCAGATGTGGACTCTCTAGACGCACCACGTCACTAGAGGTTGCAGGAAGATCAGAGTAGAGAAAAGAATGTGGGGGAAAGAAAATAAATAAAATACAAATACCACTACAGTAGTAAAGAAAAGACAGAGATTATGGCCAGTGCGAAGTGCAAATAGTCATTAAGGGTTAAGGGTACAGAGAGTTTGTAAATACGACCATGTGTGTCTGTGCATGTATGTACCTAAGCAGTTGGTCCTCCAAGCCAGATTTGGTCACGGTGAAGTTGATAACAGTAACTTTGATGCACACCTGTAGGGAAACAGGAAGGAACGAACACACACACACACACACACACACACACACACACACACACACACACA